GCTCGGCCACTCGCATTCGTCCCCTTCTATATCGTCCCCGCGCGCGCGCGCCTCGAAACGGCCATGAAGACAGCCACGATGCAGCAGCCGCTAATTACTTTCAAGATTTATCGAGATCGGTTTCGAAGCGGGTTGTGTACCTTGGCCGGATCGATCCTTATCAACGACCCTTGCCATTTTTTCGTCGGGTGTCGCGACAATGGGAGGCGAGGGGAGGCGGCCTCCTGACGGAGACACGCTCGATGACCGGGCGAAAACTGGCTGGCATAAGAGATCGAAGGATTGAAGGATCGAGGTCGGATTTTACGAGGCATCGAGAGGACGAGTTTTCCAAGTTTCGATTGTTTCGATCGAAGAAAGGATTGTATCGATTCTATAAACTTGAAACTTTGAAACTAGATTTTTAAGATCGAGGAAGAAATTAACAAATGAATGGATTCTTTGAAAAATGCAATCGCGAATTTTAATAGTGAATTGGAAATACTGAAAATGATTAAAAATGATTTAAAATGATTTATAAATATTCTTGAATTTTCTCGAGGCGTTCACAGATTTCCTCTTAAGAGGAAACGATATTACGTCTTAAAATTAACATATGCTGCAACAAGGTTTGAGTAACCACTCGTTACTCGAGCCTTCTTGAAGCGGGACTCGAAGTATCTTTGAAGTATTGAAGCCCTCGCGGTATTCGAGATCCGAATCAAAATGGATCCCGTCCATCCGTTCAACAACTTTCGAACGCGAATCCTCTTCTCGAAAGCGACCCAACACCTTATTTCGACGACATTATAGCGAGGCGATCCTTTTGCGCCTAACTCTTTCTCGCTTATAGATATTCCAAGAACGATACCGAACACCACTCACGGTTCATTAATTCCTAGATAGTTCGTTTACGAGGAGGAACCTATCGGAACTGGAATATCTATCCAGTTCCTCGAGGGGCGGATTCCTCGAGAATCGTCTTTCTCACGGAAGACGAACCCAGATTCCACGGGGAGTTTAGGATTTATACGATCGACGAAACGGTTGAAAAATGACGCATGATCATCACCGTCGTTCCGCTCGTTCTCGTGGGGAGGGCGGAGGAGGAGCGAGCGCTTCGAGATCTCCTCTCGCTCGATCCGATTTTCTCCGCGAAGGAGAATCGTCGAGGGGAACTCGATTTACGTGCGCTTCATTGTTTATGAATCTCTTATTCTACGAAAGGAAATCGGTGGTTGGCTATCCGCCGCTTCGCCATCACCTCCTCTCCCCCCTCCCTTCTCATTATTTATGAATCTACTCGCCGAGCTACCGTTCACCACTCGCGGAAGATGCACTCGTAAATCAGATTGTGCAAGTTCACCGTTGCGAGGATCAAGCCCGCGATAACCTTCTGCGAATGGCGGAGTGAAGAGTTGCGGATACGTTATCGATATCTTATTGATTGTTTTCGATGTGTAGATAGTATATCGTTGAGAGTTAAGGGATAAAATGGTAAATATTTATGGGATGAATATCGTCTCGATGATTTTTTTCTTCTTTTCAATAATAAGTAATAATTGTCAAGGGAAAACAGGTGTTGTTCATATTAAGCTTTTACTTGGCGGTTGTTGTTTATTAAAAAGGAACGAGAAATTGAATAAATTTTTGTTCAACGTCAATTAATTTATATTAATTTCCACGTTTGATTCTAACTTTGCATTGGATTTTCTTAATTCATTCATTAATTGTCTGTTTAATCTAAACTTTTTTTAGGTTAGGTTAGATTAGGAAAAAGAATGTTTAATAACTATTGAAACGAGTAATTTTTAAATGAAATTTTCTATTTAAAAATTACTAAAATATCACTTAATCTATAATAATATCTCTAATGGCAAGTTTGAATAAGAAAAAAAATTTTAACTATATTATCGATGCACCAAATTATCGATATTTATCGATAACGATAGCGATAATCGGAATTCTATACTAGAAGCCGTATCCCTTTTCAATTGTTTCTCGGTATACACACGACCTGTCACGGCTCGTAATACTTGCTTTGAACGTCTTTACGATCCACGAATGGAGCTAGTCATGGAAATAGTTCGAGTCGTTAGAAGCAGAATTGAATACGCGGCGAAATGGCCGATAGAATGGCTGCCGAGTGTCCTGTTGCCGCGGAAGAGTATACACAGAGTCGTAACAATTTACGAGCAAACTCGTCCCCTAACCGTTTGACCCGCACCCACGTCTTCCTCGAGGATGAATTTATTCCTCGCGACTCGCGTGGGTTTATGCGAACCTTCCTCGAAGGTGATCGATTCAAGAGAACTGTTCAAGACTAAGCGGAGAGATGCTGTGCACCTGGGTAAGTTTCATTTGAAATTGAAATGAGAGATTATTTGTTTTGGATTGTTTCTATTATTTGGAAATATTAAATATTCGTTTGAAACAATGAACTAGACTGTGGATTTTTACATTTGTGAGAAATGTATACGCGAGAAGATACAAATTATAAATTGTAAACGAATTGTAAAATTCCGATCTAATATATAATATACATAATAATAATATAGATAATAATTTGATAAAATTCCTAGTCTATGTCGCTTTTGTTTCAAATTTGACAAAAGAAATGATGTCAAAATTATGAGAAATAATTATTCCTCAATAGATTCATATTTTTAAATAAAATATGTAAATTCGAATAGAATGTTTTTAGAAATAAAGGAAAACTTCAATTTAATTCAAACTTTATTTTAAATAATATCGTTTCAAGTGTGGTTAGAAATAACCCTTAAGCGAAAAACCGAAGACTCGGTTAAGGTTTTAATCCTCGTTATCGTTGGATCAGCCGACGAAGTAAAATATGCAAATAACAATTGCCTCTGCCGGAAATGATAGGTGGGGCAAAATTAGCCGCCGGAAACGATAGTATCGAGGTTTTTAATCTACCACTCTTTAATCTCTCGACAAATAATAATAATAATCCATTTCTTTCATCCGTTTTCACGAAATGAAAACAATAAACGAGATTACTAATTCACGCTCACCCTCGACCTATAATTACATCCAGATTTTTAAGATATCTTAAACGAATCGAACTTGTTAATGAAGAGAGCAAACAAACATGTGAACATATCAGTATTCGTAAGTGTAACACATTCCCTACATTTTACGAATAAATTATGGTAGATGTAACCGTTATATGAATGAAATATTAATAGTAATTAATTTAATTGAAATCCAGCTAAGCTCGTTATTTATCTTGTACGAATAAATTATAACGGATATATAAATGAAATTATAATTTATATGAATGAAATTTTAGCAATGATTGATTAATGTGAAATCTGAACTTTGAAATCCTATTATCTGAACAATCGTCGATTATCATGACAAGTATTCTTTATGAAATTACGTCTTTACGAATATTTTTTAATTTGTAATATTATCTGAATTCTAAGATAAGCTTCTATTGTTTAAAATTTTTATTATTACATTATATTAAATATAATTATACATGTATAATTTTCTAAATTATACATTATATAAAAAATTCTCTCATATAACGTATAAAAGATGTACAAATCGCGCAAGCCACCTCGTACATGACATAACCGTAAAAGAGGTTAGAATCGAATATGCCGTACGATTCTATTGAATATATGAATATGTATTTCCTATTGTCTGAATCAAAGTGATGAGAAAAAATCTAATGGAAAGCATTAAATGCTTCTATTATCGCCTTTATGAATCTGCTTATTCTCCAATAAATTCATATAAACAAAGTTATATGCAAAATCGTACATACCTGAAATCAGCGCAGATGAAAAGGCTCGAATAGATGTTTGAAGGATTCGTTAGCAAAGAGGATGTTACATGTTGCGAAGCAGACAACGGTGGAAGGCTACGCGGAAAAAGCGTGGACGGCCATTAATCTAAGGAGCGGTGACGTTCCAAGGAGCATAAATCTGCATGTTCCGGTAGCTGTGCAGGACCTTCCTGCTGCCTGTCCAGGATGCACGATCGCGATCATACGCTTCAAGGGATTATCTCTTCGTACGGATCGGATTTTATCTCGCGTTGGCTTCTTTGCCTTGTAACCGGCCACCATTGGAAATCGTTCGAATTATGCTCACACGTATTATACTCACATATTTATATTTTACAATTTTTGTATGATTAGATTCAGTAATATCAATCACGCACTATTTTTTTATCAATCACTTGAAATCGATGACAAAAACTACGCAGCAGAATTTTCGCGCCAAAATGAATTCGACGAAACATTGTTATTCGTCTTTTATTAGATATATTATCGATTATTATTACTCACGCACTATTTTTTAGCGATTATTTAAAATCGACGACAAAAACCACAGCACAATTTTAACGATAAAATAAATTTCGAAGAGAAAACATTGTCGTTACGATTTTATTACGCGTTCTACCGGCCATTGTAGAATTGAGACTGTCGATATGTTGGCATCTTATCGATAGTTTTAAATATATCGATAATATCGTTAAAATATCGAAAATAAAAATAATTATTTTTTTTTATTCAATATTATTATTAAAATATGTAAAAATATTACTTATAATAAGTTATAATAAAAATAAATACATATTATTGAAAAATTATTAAAATAATATATTAAAATTTACTTCGGTCGACTGCTTATTTCTCGCATTATCGATATTTCAATAATATTTTAAATATATCGAAAACTTGATGAAATATCGTTAATCTAAAGATGTATGTCTCTATAATATCTCTAATAACTCTGAAAACTAAGAAAATATTGGAATTCTAGTTATTTTTATTCGTTAACAATATTATCGATTTATCAAATTATCGATATATATAGTCACAATTCTATTGGCGAGTCAACCTATCGTTACTATGTTCATATCGTTCTTAACGTTTCTTCAAGAGAGACAATTTGGTGAACAATAGTGTCTACATATTGCAATGACTGTACTGTGACGTATTGAAACTGACTTCAATTGAATTGATTCAAGTGATCTTTGTGAAAATCATCATACATTTTCATATTAATTCGTAACTGTTTGTAAGTAACAATTGTTTCGTGATTGTAATGTGATTCTGAAATAGTTCGTGTGAACGAGAATATCCAGCCATGATGGATGACACGAAAATCTTGGAAAATGGTCTCGTATTCGAGCAATTTTCTCGAACCACGTCTCTGTACCGTTACTATCTGTATGATTTGTCGATAATGGTCGATGGATTACCGTCGATCGACACACTTTTGATCGTGCGGCCATGATTAGATAGGATGGGAAACAGAATGCTCGATAGCAATTTCGAGTCAAAGACCTCGTGAAACAACGTGTACTTTTATTTTATACCGTATCAAGTCATCTTGGATTAAATAATGTGTTCCAGTCTTCTTCTGCACGATTTTTCTTCAGAATCAGGTACAGATTTTTTTTTATGAAAGATTTTTTTACTGTAGAAATAAATATAATAGAATAGGATTCTAATACTCGATATATTGATATTTCTAAGATTTTATTTTTCGAAATAAATAATTTATTAATAAAACTAAAGACAAAATATCAAATTATTCATACTATACATCAAATAAAATAATATATAAGAGTTTTTATACTGCATGTATAAAAAAAACTCTCAAAAATTTTCATTCCTGCTTTGAAATGATTTTAATCATGACATATATAAAATAATTTTAAAAGATTAATATAAAAAGAACGATATTTATGTATATTATTATTAGTGGAATTTTATAAATGAATTTCCGAGTGTTAAATTGTTATTTTAGAATTCGAACACGATATTTTTTTTAATTTTTATAAAAATATTCAAACTTTAAAGTCGTGATTCTTGAGTTATATCATTTTTACAAACAAACGAACGATTCTTTTCAATGTTCACAAGCGATTCTGTCTATTCGTCACACTTAAACGGTTAATAGACGAGGTAAAAATACATCCGGTTCACGATCGTGGAATGATTTCCACAGCTGTTCATTTTCGGTGCCGAGGACGAAGATGCCTGCACCTCGTGTAATTGATTCTTCACGGAACCGAAAGATCCCATCGCGTAATTGCGCACACGAATAGCCGCGAGTACTCGGCATAATCCCGGCCAAGGGGTTCTCGATCGTAACTTTGTAATTAACCGCCGCCGAGAAATACCCAATTCTAATAAATACCGGTGATCCGCGCCCTTATCTCGCCTAATGATTAACAATTTACCAGGATCGGCCGATTTAATTAAAACGACGTGGAACGCGACTCATCCATGTACCCATGTCTTCGTGATGGAACTATCCTTGGAATGTCCCGATCGTCTTTATCCTTGGACATGGTTAGACTCGTAGTTCGAACCAATTATAGTTTTTGCACAATTCATCCTCATAAAAATAAAATTCAATGTAAATCAAGCGTTTCGAAATTTTTAATTTCATTATATGTATGTAACATAAAATAGTTATTTAATAGAAAACGTGATTTGATTTATAATGATTTTTTCTAATCGTGGTAATTTCATATTGTACATATTCGTATAATAATTATAACAACTTGTGAAAATAATAATAATTGCAACAGAAATGATTAATAATATCCAGGACCAATACAAATATTTTTTATATAGGATTTAATTTTTAAAAAAATCTTCTTCATCATTGAAGAAGAATATGATGTTAGAAATAATAAAGTGTGTTTTGTCTAATCAATAAAATCATGACAAAATGACATTGTAATTTATTTTATTTTTGAAAAGCTAACAAGATAACTTTAATTTGCAAAGTAATGGATTTAATTTGAAAAGAAAGAATAAATATGATCTGCAAAAGGATTTGGAATCTATAAAATCTCTAACTTTGAATTGAAATATATTTATTATCTGGTATCCGTCTGTTATAAACATTTTAAAAGATTTTTCAAGAGGAAAATTGCACCTTGAGATCGTTAAGCTGCTCGTTTGAATCCTTAGGATACCAATTAAAAATTATTTTAGCATTATAAAAAAAAAATATTACAATCTTGAAAGCATTGAAATATGTTGTGGTATAAATTTTTGCGGATATAAATGGAATTAATGGATATTGATGGATGGAAGTTACGTTCAGAAGAGATAAAAGTGGACAGAGGAATTACAGAGGAATTAATTGATAAGATAAATTAGGTAAATTAAATGGATATCTCACAAATAGATAATTAGGTACAAAGTATTTAATTAAATTTATGCTCTGTAAACAACTATATTCACATTTACATGAGATTCAAACTTTTTGTATATAAATATTTTAGAAACAATACTTTTAAACATGAATTTTTTATCTGAGATTCTTCAATCTTTCTAATCATACTCTCCATTGTATTTAAAATCAATTAATTGATTAATTCGACTCATTTCTACGTTTGTATAATAAATTCTTTGATATCTTTTGTTACAAATAAATAAAAATTCGAATATTATGAGAGATTCGAATCAAAAAATTAAATGGAAAATAATCATATAAATTTTTATATGTTTGTAAAGAAAAGGAAATTGAATGAAATGCAGATTCGCAATTTTATATTAAATCATTGTAAAATTATAAAAACGAAATAATAATACGAAAAAATCGAAATTAATATGCATATGATAGATGCTTATTTCAATTTTTTCGTCAACAATTTAGTAAGTGAAATTTGACATAGAATAATTTCGAATTAATAACAAAATTTGTAAAAGATTCATCTATATGGAAAGAAAAAAGGAATTTTTTTTATCCAAATACGTTTATCAAATTATAACCAATTGAATCGAACGACTCAACATTTCCACGTCTTATCTATGAAAACTTTCCAAAGGTATTCGTATTCCACGAATATATTAACACTCTATATATCTTGATTCCATTCTTTAATAACAAGAAACGAATATTTATACCGCATTTAAATTTAAATATACATATGCAACCTATCCACTCACTTAATTGGAACCATTTGCAAGAGTAATTGGCCTACAATAGCGAGAACTGGGGGATAGGAAAAATTATTAAAATCGTGTTCAAAGCAGGATGATGGAGAGTGCAACGTGCGCATTCCAAACATAGAAAAATCGTGGCCATAGACGCAATTACATTGCTCATTACCGTTCATCATCCTCGTCGGGGCTTCAAAAATAACCGAGGAAAGAACGCGTCGCTGGAGATCCGCGTCACTTATGCATGCAACATAATCACCGTGCACCGTTCGTTTCATTTAACGAACGGTAGGTAACATTTAATTGCCCTCGCTCGGCTATACGAGGGACCCGCGGTGTTTTTCTGGGTCTCTTGAGAGGAAATGCTAGTGATGGGATCAGGCTCGTGTGAATCGTGTTTTACGCGAAAAAATCCTTTTCCTAGAATTCGAGTATATCGGTAAAATAAAAAATTAAAGATTGACTGTAACGTTAAGCATTGTCAAATTGAAAAATCGCTATCCTACTTTGTCTCTAACGAATAAATTACTTGTTGCTTAAAAGTTAATATTAAATTTCATACTTATCATGTTATTAAATGATAAATTCGCCATCATATCATTGCCAAATCAATCTAATGTTAAATGAGCAACAGAGCAACCAATTATTAATTATTAATTATTTTCATTCTGAATAAACGAACCCCTTCTCATTCCATGGAAAAAGAAAATTATGAAAATTTATTTCCAACAAGACAGAATCAATCCCCCAATTACACAATTATATTTATTATATCTCCATTCGTTATTTTATAAATATGATTATTTATAATATTTTATAAAATTATTTATTATTAATTATTTTATAAAAATTAAAAAAAAAAGGAACGATTTATTCAATGGGCAAATTAACTCATTCCAATAAATATCGCAGGAACGATCAAATACTTTATATACCTTAATTCCGTTCCCATTACTTGCCCCCATACCGAGACGACCCGTTTCAGTATCGACGATTCCGATCGAGTTTCGAGAGAGGGGATAAGGGGGGAGGGACCCATTCGAGATCTCTAAAACTAATTCCTTGCCGAGTTGAACGAGTTAATAAGGGGGGTGGGTGGGTAGATTGGCCCGTGGCGATCTAGTCGACGACCCAACGATGCGAAGGAACGCCTCCGCCCCCCCCCCCTCCCCCTCCGAGTGCATTTGTTCACGAGATCATTGTGCCCGCCGAGTCACGAGTCCGCCCGGCCAAGACAAATGGAAATTTCGTGCTGCTCTCGTCGGCGGGAGGAGCATGATTCACGAACGATGATTTCGTGAGGCTGTGAATAAGGGGTTGGATAAGGGGCGAAGATAATCCTCTTCATAAACGATGGATAATTAAATGGGTCGGGTTCGGTCAGTATCAATTACAAGGAAACAATTCGGTGGAATTATTATGCTATGAATCGGAGGAGAGGTTTTAACGTATTGTCTTTTTGAGGCGCGATCTATATCTGGATCGATTCGTTTTTTTTTTAGGCTTGAAGTTGTTGGAGCAGGTTTTGTTGAGAATTTTATTTATGAGAAGAAATTTTTAAAGGAATTTTATTATTTGTTACTTTTGTAGTTTTAGTTTGCCATAAAATGATTTTCTGAAGCTATAAATTATTACAAAATGAATACGTTTATTATCGCTGTTATTTTAATAAATTTTACCTTATTAATAGGAAATATTATTTTATTATTCGTGTAACGAAGATTCTATCGAAGAAGATTGTTATGGACTGGGAAAAATCTTTTTACGATTTACTAGTGCCAATCGTATCATTTATAAAAGTTATCTATTTATTATGCTACAACTTACAAACTCAAATAATTTAACGAAAATAAAAATTACTATAATAAACTACTAATAAATCCACTTTACATGATTAATATCAATCAAGAATTCGAATTCATATACTTATACAACGAAAAATTCACTTTATAATTCTTAAAACCCTCTCGAAAGTTATTTTAATTAAATCTCGTTCTTCTTCTCCCTCCCAAAAAAAAAAAAAAAAACGAGCGACGCTTGTTCAATGGTTGATCCTCCATCGTGGAAATGTACCCACGACAGTGACAGCGGAAACTTGCGTTGAGAGATCATGTTTATTAAAAAACGATATCCTTCGTAAAAAAAACCGGAGAGGGAGGGGAGAGGAGAGGGCTGAGAACGAGGGGTCCGGAAGCGAAGACGTGTTTCGCGGAATGGAATACCGGAAGCGAGACTTTATAGAAGGCAGAGCCTTGAAAAGCCGTGCACAACATCTCTCGAAGAACTCGTCTGCCAGGTTTCTGTATCGTGGAGGGACCGGTTGTGACGTAAAAGATCACAAGGGGATACGTGCGCGCACGCGAAACGATTCTTTTCCTTGCGGGTGGAACGGGTTAGGACAATGCGCAACGAGAATTTTGCACGTCCGCTTTCGAACGTTCTTCTAATTCTTCTCTCTCTCTTTCGTATTCCGAAACGGAAAAAACAGGCACGGATGAGGGTCGAGCCTTAAAATAGTTCCAGTTATTTCTTACTGCTGCGAATATATATTTAATATTTTCAAGAATATTTATAAATGGACATCAATGCCGTAGGAACTAATTGTAATTGACAATAAAATTCAAGTTAATAATCGCTTTTAAGAAATGAATCTATTTTACGTGAGCAAGTAACCAATAAAATTTATCGATATATAATCTTATATATACTAAATAACTAAAGTTAAATTACGAAAATAATTAGATACGCGTCACAAAATTAATATATTGATATATTAAAGCAAACTTGCCTATTTTAAATAATCTTAAGAACAAAAGTATATACGTAACCGATCGATTTAACTCGATTTAAATTCTACTCTTAATTGTAAAAAAAAAAAAACAAAAACAAATTCAATCGAAAAGAAAAATTCCTCCGAATGGAACGTGACCATATATCATAGGAATATCCCGATCGTTCGGTGATGAAATGTGTGTCACGTGTGACGTTATCTAGAACGTGCCCTATCCCCTTAAAGAAGAAATACTGTGTCGATAAAGTAGTCCCCCCCGATACGTAACTACCACCCAAGTTTCCTAGAAAAGGTGCTCTCAGGTAACTCGGTAACCAACCGCCGGAAGAAATCTCCGCGCTTCTTCTCCCCTTTTTCTTTCGCGACCGCAGAGAGAGAAAGAGAGAAAGAGAAAGAGAAAGAGGCGAACATTAATCTTCGTAACAGTGCATCAACCCGTCCGAGTGAAACACACACTCGCATCCTTACCTGCTAAGCGGATGCGTGCGCGCGAATTTATCGCGAAATACGTTTGAACGCGTAGAGAGAGTGCGCATGACGAAGTCGAGTGAAGTTATTTGCTTAGACTCGATGTTCAGGTGATTGGATAGTAGATAGATACGCGTGTGTGGTAGTTAATGAGTTAATGAGTGACGTTTCGATTTGTAAGTCAGGAGAGATATTTTTAAATTCGTAGAAACGATCGGATCTCGAAATCGAAACAATTTTTATCGAATTTATATTTCTGTCAATATCAATTTTATAGAATACAAGAAATATCATATATTCTTCTTCTTTTTTTTTTTTTTTTTTTTTAAGAAGATTTGCTTTCTTGAACGAGATATTAATCAAGAAAGAATTATTATTAAAAAATGAGAACTATTTTACTGACTTTCTGTTATATAATTAACGTCGTATCGTATCAACGAAATTCTAATCACGGCACGTTCATCTAGAAAGTCTCATAACCGCCGATAAAATACGACGGAGAGATTCGAATCGATGGCTTCGAAGCTCGTGGAGAAAGAGACGAGAAAGAAACAAGAGAGAGGTGGGGATCCTGGTTGAACCTTTGACCCCCGGTGCAAGCCACGACAAAGCTCTCCTCCTCCTCCTCCTCTGTAACACGGTCCTCTCGGCTATTCCAGTCTCGGTGACCTCGAACCTGGAAGCCTACTAGAACCGCATCCTTCGGGGGGTCTCTAACTCGCCGTTATCGCATTACGTCCATTTCAGCTCGGCCAACCTCTCTCTCTCTCTCTCTCTCTCTCTCTCTCTCTCTCTCT